AACAAACTATTTAATATACATATTCCTGAACATGGAAAGCCCCGCTGTATACAAACTGATAATGGCACACAATTCAAAAGTCATGAATGGACCTCAAGATTAGAGAAAGAGAACATCACACCTATATACAACCCTGTCTATTACCCCTGTTTCAATTTAGCAGAAAGACCAATAAGAGAAATCAAAAGATGTCTAAGGACATACTGTTCTAAACAACAACAAAAATGGGTAAAATATATACCAGAGATAAACCAATGTTTAAATGAAATTCACCATGAATCCACTGGATTTACTCCCAATGAGTTGCAGTATGGTATTAAGGACATTAGATTTTGGGAAGAATACCTACATCACCCAATCAACAATGACATGCCTTATGAACAAAAATTATTGATGGCAGAAAGAAAACTAAGTGAAACCCGAAGAAAACGTTCCAACCGATTAAACAAAAATAGACAACCACAGTCTCTAAACATCAACGACAAAGTACTCATAAAATCTCATCCCTTATCCAGAGCTATTTATGGTGAGACAGCCAAATTGTTTGAAGTGTACCAAGGCCCTTTTGTCATCAGAGAAATACTTGGACCATCAACATACCACATAAGTGATCTCTACAATGATAAATTATATGGACCCTATCATATATCCTCCATGAAGAAATACATGGAACCGATCTACACACCACAACCGAAGATAGAAGATAAACTGTAATGTGTGCTTAACCCTATAAACATTGCTGTAAAAGGGAAGAATTTTAAATCATACCCACACAAGCAGTGAGTGAACAAGCCAATTTCTCCAGTTACCTCTGTCCCAATAGTTAAACTATAGTCATAATCACAAATTTAATGTATTTAGTTATAAGAGGTTATCATCAAGCAATCACAAACAACTATTCATTTAATGTACTCCATGGTACCTATAAGAATCATACATCTCTTATATGTCTCATGTTTATTTCATATTTCAACATTTGTTCATCACTCCATTCATTTATTATGTAAAAAATAAAAAAAATTGTTTTAACCACTTAAATTAATGTTATGTTTTTTAATGTTTGTAGAAGATAGGAGGGGATAGTAATCATTTTGCTGTTTTAGAATTATTTTATTGTTATGTTCATTCCAACTGAAATTTGTTCTAGTTAAACCTTAATGTTAAGTTTGTTAGATTTTTGTTTCAACTCAATTTCATCTCAATATTTGTTATTTGCTGTATAATGTTAAATATATTTTTCGTCATTTAGCGAAAATATGTCATTAAAAATTTAATTACATATTTTCTGAGGGGATATTGTAATGACTCAAAATTCAATGTTTATAATTATAGTCCTTATTTTATTTTCAAACTCAATCTTGTTATATTTTCAATATTTATCCATGTCCATTTTTAATATTATTAAAACCATATTGTCTCAACATATATATAATTTACTATCAAAATTTATTCATTGGCTTATCCAAAATTATTATTCAAAAACAAATCCTCCAATCAGAACACCATCCATCTGGGTTCAAGATTATTAATAAAATTCAACCATGTTTTTATTGATGTGAACCCCATAACTTGATATGATTTACAACAATGAAAAGGAGAGTGCAGTTTAGCTATTCAAGAAGAGCACATAGAAACTATATTAGTTGTGAAATAAATTATGAAAATATAAAGTAAAGTATTGGCAAAATATCCAAATTAAGTTAACCGAAGAAAGAAGAATTTAAGCCTTTAAACTAAGAAGAAAATTATTATTACAGAAGATTGGTGAGAACATTCCATTTATTAACTCAGACTAACTTATAGACTCCTCAAGCATCCATTTGGACCCTATTTACCTCCATTAATTAAAATCAAAATCCTTCCTATTTAATTTATTGTTTTTGAAAGATTATTAAATTTATAATTTACCATACTCATTGAAAATTTAAATTGGAAATCTTTTGATTCGGCCAGCACGAATCCCCACCCCTGAACAATTTTTTTGTAACCCTATATTAATCATTTAACTTATGTACCATTAAATGAAGAAGTTCATGCTTTAAAACCTCTGTCCTCAAATTATTATTGTTTAAGATAAGATTAGAATACAAACCATATTAAGGGTTTATTTCACTATACCTAACTGGACCATAACCTCAAATTCTTTTTTGGCTAACTTTAACTTGTCCGGGGCTAGACGACGGGGTTTGCTAAAGACTGGTGGTCCTGGGGTTGTCTGGATATGGTGTTCTGTTTGATGTTTGACAGGGACAGAAGGTTTACCTGCCGGTCGAATAAGGGACGCATATGATTGGAGGAGCTGCATGTAGACATTTGGTTGGTTTGCATTTATTGCTTTAATACCACTTACCAAATTGGAGCATGTTGCGCGACCAGTGGAAACGAGAGAGGTTACCTGATCAATCAAACACTGACGTCGAACATCCACTAATAAATCATAATGATGAAGAAAGTCAACTCCAATGATCGGTTTGGCAACATCAGCTATGATAAAACGCCACACAAATGCTCGGCGTAGGCCTAGGTCCAAAGATAAGGTATGCAACCCGTAAGTGGCAATTTCGGTGTTGTTTGCTGCGTATAGTGTATAGTCAGATTTTAGTATTTTACCTGAAAGCATTTTTCGTGGATAGACGCAAACATCTGCTCCAGTGTCAATGAGGAACTGTTGTTTTGTTACCTTGTCTGTGACGAAGAGGCGGCGAGATGTCTGTAGATCGGAGGAGTCGCTGGCCGCCATTAGAGACTCCCGAGATCGTTTCCCGAGTTGTTGGCTTGGAAACTGCAAGGCCTGGTGCACTTAGTTGCTGCATTACCGAATCGCTTGTGGTACCAGCAAACATCGTCTCTTGTCGTGCTCTTGGAGCGTGATCTTGATCGCCGAACCGGACTTGAACTCCATGTTGGACGATGATTTTGATTACTCCGCAGATCTTCTTTGATAGTTGAAATGTCGTGCTGAAGAGTGCTTACGATTTCGCCCATTTTAGATGTCATCAGAATCGTCAGTCGCTCCATCATTACTTCCATAGAGTTGGGACTGTTAGTAGGGACAGCTGCTTCTGTAACTTGATGACGCGGGCTAATTTCAAGCACGGCGTCAGCCAACTCGGCTAGTGCATCAAGCTCAGACGACTTTTGTGTTGCTAAAATGGCTTGAGTTGATGAAGGCAGACGACTCAACCACAGAGTTTTCAGCACAGTGTCAGGCACAACGGTACCAGCCAAAGCACGAAGATGTCTGAGGAACTGCGAGGGCTTTCGATCTCCCATTTCTTCATGTTCCAGGAGACGTCTGGTCTTCTGTTCCTGTGAAGAGCTTAGGCGTTGTATCAATTCTGTTTTCAGTTTTTCGTATTTTCCCTCGGTTGGTGGTCTTGTGAGGATGTCTCTCACTTCAGCAGCGTATTTAGCATCAAGGTTTCCACAAACATAAAAGAATTTTGTTTCATCAGATGTGATCCGAGCCAAGGAGAATTGGGTCTCGACCTGCGCAAACCACAGCTCAGGATCTGCTGGCCAAAATTGTGGAATCTTCACAGTAATTCGTTCTAGGGAGTTACCTTCTTGAGTAGTAGACATTGTATTGCAATTTTGCTAAATTTTGGTAAAAAATGATCACGTCGGGGTCACCACTGAAGAAGGAGGTTCTTCTTTAACTATTTTTATTACTTTTATGATAAAATTATTCAAGAAACTCATAGAAAATAGAATTTAATGAGCATGACAAAAACATAAGTGTATGCATTATAAAAACCAGGAATGAACTGTTAGGTAACCATAGCAACTGGAGTCTAAACCTTCGCTAAATCATCATGATGTTGTCCCCTGGCGCTGCGGAGTGGGAGAAATGATTCTCCCTCCACCTCCCCTCTAGACGGCGTCCAAACAAGCCCGCGTTGTTTTACATGCATATCATATACCTATGCTGCAGTTTTTCAATAAGTTAAAAAATGAATATTTATAAAATTAAACTGTCATAAATTAACCTAACCAACCAAACATGCTGATTATATAAAAAAATATATAAAATAATAATCGAATAAAGGTTTACTAATCGAAAAAATAGTTCTGTTCATAAAATAAAATTATAAATGCCTTGAATTCAATTTTAGAATTTATTAATTATGAAATTAAACTGTCATAACCTAACCAAACCAACCAAACTTGCTGATAATGAAAAATAGAACAAGGTTTACTAATAGAAAAAAATAGTTCTAAAATTATAATAGCTCAAATTGAATTTTATAATGTTTCAATTAACAAATTAAACTGTCATAACCTAACCAAACTAACCAAACTTGCTGATAATGCAAAATCTTAGACAAAAAGTTAGTGCCACCGAGAGGATTCGAACCTGGTACCTTCAGATCCTCAGCCCGGCACGTTATCCATTAGACCACCGAGGCCGGTGGCTATAATCCGTATCGTTGCGGTAATGGTGTTCCCTCAACCAATAGAATGCTTTGCTTCCCCCACTCCGCAGTGCCAGGGGACAACATCGTGATGATTTAGCGAAGGTTTAGACTCTAGTACCATAGCAACTCATTTAAACAAAACCAAAGTTATACTTTTATAAAAAAAACAAATAACTGTCCAGCTGGTTTTCAACAGTATTGAAGCACTCACCACAAACTATAATATATGTCAGTGTGAGGTTTGACTTCAGTTGAATTACAGACAATGGTCATTTCACCTGTAGTTTGTTAATTATAAGCTTACTATATTTAAATTGTCTACGTAACTAAGTTTCAAGACAATGTTATCAAGTGTCCATTTCTTAATGTCCAAAACTAAATCAAGGAATCCGAATGGACATAATGCTACGCTCCCTTAACCATGTTTTGTTGTAGTGGAATCATTAACGGGTCTGAAACATTTAGTTTCTACTTTTAATGTTTGTTATTAAAAATTAAAATTAAATATAGTTTTTCTTCTAGTAAAAATAAAAAATTTAACCTTCCGTACATCTATTTAAAATATATTGTAAAATGTTTCAGGTATGTTTACGGGTACAACAACATTGGAGATTTGGAATTTGATGAGGCAGATAACATGTTCTATGTTGCCGAAAAGTATATGATGCCCAGACTAAAGAACAAGTTGGCTCTGAGATTGATAGCACTTCTGACACCAGAAAATGTCTGTTCACTGTTGAACAACCCAGCTTGTCGAGGAGAAATCCAGCTTAACTCTCACATCACAAAGGTTGGTAGACTAATAGTTGTGTTTTGCTGGTTACACACTAGTGTCGCAGACAGATAAGGATAACACGGGAAACTTTAAAAGCCACTGGGGCAGACCCCAAGGAACTTTTTCAAAAATTTAAGGTCAGTTTGCAAATCTACGCGACACGCTCTTTCCAATGAGACCTTAACGGATAAAATCGGTTAAGAAATGGTGGAAGAGTTCTAACGAAAAATTTTGTGTTGGGTTATTAATTATATAGATTTGATTTTTTTTTTTTTAGTGCTACCACACTACAAAAAAGAAAAATACCCCCGCCGCAGCAAACCTGCAGACTTAGCAAATTTCCATTTGCCTGATTGGATTTACACGAAAATGTCTCCTTAAAAATATCACATTTATTCCCTATTTAAACAGAATTAGTTTAATGAGTACTTAGGTTTGCTGCAACAAGGAGGGTAAAAAAGTTTTTTTTATGTAAAATGTTAAAAGGTACTGTAGTTTAGTAAGAAATTAATGTATTGTCCAAATTTGATCAAAATATGTTCATAAACAAGCAAACTACAACAGTTGACTTATTCTCCATAAGAATAACATGGGAATTTAAAATTAACATTTTTTTAAATTTTCTCCGTAACAATTAGGCGCATAATAACGCTTCAATATACTAAATTATTTGTTTTTTTAAGCTCTACAAAATGGTTTAGAAAGAAATTGTGAAATTTTGCGTTTTTAGGGTCAAAAATGGGAAAAACCTATTTTTACCCCATAAAACCCCCCATAAACCCCCGTTAACATAGTCCGATCATGCTGGTTCGCAAACTCATTCAAGTTTATCCCGCCTTACACCTTAAAACCAAATTTTATCAAAATCGGACAAAAATTACTCAAGTTATCGTGCGGATGGACACATATATATATATATACTAGCTGTACCCGCGGGCTTTGCCCCGTTTAACTTCATAAGTATTCGCATGGCTCATTCACGTCCTGGTTGAAGTTCGTTCGCTATGCTCACTCACCTTTAGGTTGGAGCTCGTTCGCTGCGCTCACTTGCCTTCAGGTTGGAGCACGTTCGCTGCGCTCACTTGCCTTCAGGTTAGCTCGTTCGCTACGCTAACTCGCCTTTTGGTTGGAAATTAGCTGTTGTCATAAGTTAAAAAAAAAGAATAGTGCTGCACCCTGTTGGTAATCCTTGTAACTTTTATGCTATTGAACATCATAGAACATAACGACAGAACCAACTTGTTTAATTGAAACAGCTGTTAAGATTCATTAATTCCTTTTAAATATGAAAAATCATAAGGTTAACATGGGGAACTACAGAGCCACTGGGGCGGAGCCCGAAAGGATTTTCGAGATAAGAATATGCTTTAATGTTAATCGGGAATGTGAGCTATCATCATGCCAAATTTCAGCCCAATCCGTCCAGTAGTTTATGCGTGATTGAGCAACACACACACAAACACACACACAAACTCACAAACTTTCAGATTTATAATATTAGTAAGATATCTCTATATATAGATATATAAAAATTTGAACGAATGGTGTTTTTGGCCTCTGGGGACATCAAAATGAAAAAGTAAATCGGTCCCGGGCCTAGGTCTTACCATGAGACCTACGGTAATAGCTACTTCCCTATAGGGAAATTCGCTAAAAATTGTAAAAAATGATCATTTTCAAAATTATTACATTTGACACACCATTTTAAAGCTGTCTTTACCAGGATTATGAATTTTTAATCAGAACGGAAAAATGTTTGGTGTTTTTGAAAATACAGGGTGTTACGTCAATACGCGAAAAATTTGCAAAAATGGCTACCATTTAATTGAGATAATTGTGTTCTATTTTCACCAAAATGTTGCTCTAAACAAGACCTTTCTAAATATGTACAATGAGATATACTTGGATACTTGGAGAATTCCCACTGGTAGCGCATCAGCGACGTGGTCGTCAGGTTTTTATACATTTCTTGATATTAATTTATATAAATGGATTCATGTCCTCTTCAGGGATGCACATGACCAACACTGTAGTAGGCCGCTTGACTAAAAATGTTTTTAGCAGGTTCTTGAATTTGCTGATAGAGGGCTGTTGCATGATGTACTGAGGCAATTTATTGTAAATTTTTATACTATTGAAGTAAGGGCTCTTGCTTTCAAGGGTGGAATTTACTTGAGGTACATGTGGATTTGTTGCTCTTCTTGTATTGTAATTGTGGACCATGCTGTTAGTTACAAAAATATTGGGATTCTTCTTAACAAGCAATGCGGATTCCAATATAAAGAGGGACGGGAGTGTGAGAATGTTCAGTTCTTGGAACAAAGGTTTATCGTGTGTCCGTCTATGGACTCCACATATTCTTCTAATTGCACGCTTTTGAAGGATGAAGATGCGTTTAGCCTCACTACAACCACCCCAAAATACCAAACCATATGAGATTATGCTATGAAAGCAGCCTTTGTAAACCTTAAGGAGAATCTCGATGTCAACCAGCTTTTGTAGTCTAAAACAGCAGGTAGGTGACAGATGACAGTCTGGGCGCTATTGCATCGACATGTGTTCCCCAATTAAGGTTCTCCGTAATGTGTAGTCCCAAGTATTTGGTTTAGCTACAAGTTTCACGTGGCACCACATCCAAGGTCAATGTCGGGGGTGGTTCAGGCTTCTTCCTGTTATAAAATTCCATTAATTTGGTTTTACTAGAATTTAGGACCAGATGATTTTTGCTACACCAAGTTAACATTTCAAGCAAGCTAGTTTGGGCGTTTTCAATCGTGATGTTTCGATTTGGGCTTGGGACTAGGTGACAGGCGTCGTCGGCAAAAAGCCATAAATTTCCAAAAGATATGGAGCCAGGTTAGAAGTCATTCACGTATAACAGGAATAGGATGGGCCCAATGTTTGATCCCTGGGGGACACCGATGTTCAGTGCTGGTGATGGAGACGATTTAAATGTCCGGAGGATGTTGTCAGGGCCTCTGTGCTTCAAGGATACAATCATTTGCCGATCTTTAAGATACGATGAAATCCATCGCAGTAGGTTTTCGTGAAATCCAGAAATGCCAAGCATTCGCAGCTTATCCAGAAGGATCCTGTGATCAAGAAGATCAAAAGCCTTTGTCATGTCGTAAAAGAGACATAGTAAGCTGTCAGATATGTCAAGGTGGTTATATACTTCCTTTAAAAGGGTGAAAATGGCATCACAGGTAGACTTGTTTTTTCTGAACCCGAATTGGTTATTTGACAAGATGTTATTTGTTTCAATAAAACTTGGCAATCTTTTAAGAAAAATAATCTCAAAGATTTTACCAAAACAAGGCTGGGCAGAGATAGACCGGTAGTTACTTGCGTTAAGAGGATCATTTTTCATTAATACAGGGACAACCTTTGAAGTTTTCAACGAATCAGGAAAGCACCAGTTTCAAACGACTTGTTAATAGTGCAGGCCAATGCTTCAAAGATGTTTTCATTGCAAAGTTTGAGAAGGCTGCATGGGACTTCATCAATGCCAGAACTTTTTTTTTATCCTATTCATAAGACAACTTCACGAACCTCAGACGCAGAAGTAGGGGACAGTACAAAGCGACTCGCTTCGAGATCAGTGGGCAACACAGGGGCTACATTATCTTTAGCCAATGTACATATTTCCTGGTGAAAAGATTTACAGAAATAGTCTACTATTGTCTGAGGATTTTTGACTTCCACGTCATGGATCATAAGAATCAGGTTTGATTGGGTCTGATACTTTTCATCGCACAGTGTACGGACCACTGCCAAATATTTGTGTTTTTGGAATTTAATATTTTGTTACCAAAAAGGCCTTTTTTGTTTTGTTAACAAGTGCAGAGTGGTGACGTTTAGCTGCGCGATAAGCATTTTTTCCATTGACAGAACAGTGAGGCTACCTAGTATTCCAGTACAGGTCCAAGAGTGCTTCATGCGACTGCGATACCTCATGACTGACCCAAGAAGAGCTATGTTCATTCTTTGTATTGTAGACACAGGGAAACTTACATTAAAAACATACATGAACGAATCGTAGAAATGGTCAAATAAATCATTAGAGGTAATACTTCTTAAATTAGGTTCTGGCATCCAAGTTTCATTGCTAGATAAAATTTTGAAGGCTTCAAAAGTCGAGGCTGTAAATTTCCTCTTCACTGTCTTATTTAAATTTCCCTCTCCTAAACATTCACACAACAAGTGCACTGATAGCAAATGGTGGTCAGAAAAAAAAACAGGTTTGGCACTGGGGGCACGAAACATATGTGCAACACACGAGTCAACAATAAAATAGTCAAGCTGAGTTATACAGTCAGGTGTTACTCTAGTTGGTCCTTTAAATATAATGTTCAGGTTATTGCAACAAACCTAATCTAACAAATCCTGAAGCAGCTGACTTTCCCAGGATCTCTCAAGATTGTTTATATTTAAGTCAGCGCAAATAAGAAGCGGGAAATTAAACTTATCTCTGAGGGTAGAAATCAAGTCGAAACGATCAATAAAATCAATTACATCAGCGCTGTTGGCAGTCCCAGGCCGATATAATACCACAAGAATAACTGTGAACTTGTCTAGCTGCATTAGTCCCAAACAGAACTCAAATACACCTTCAGAACAAATGTCTTCGTCAATAGATAATGTCATAGGCTTAAAATTAAGCCTAGAGTCAGTTTTAAGCAACAGAGCAACTCCACCCCCTACTTGGTTAGGTCTAGAATATTCAGAAATGGTTTTGAATATAGGTTGACTGAAGAAAATTTTCAGATTTGAACCGGTGACCTTCATTTCTGGAACACCCTGTGTTTGGATCATGTTCTAAGTATTTTAGATGGATTTTTCGTATGTGATTTAGGGGGGGGGGGATAATTTTGTTTCACGTTTCTATGTGTAAGCGTACTCTCGTAAAAGTAGGTATGCGTACGGGTGATCTGCCTCACCCTGTACATACTTTTAAAAGAAAAATACCACTGACTGACAGATGATCACTATATCTCACAAAATATGCTTAACCT